CAGTACTCCAGGTGGGGTCTCACCAGAGCAGAGCAGAGGGGCAGAATCCCCTCCCTCGCCCTGCTGGCCACGCTGCTTTGGATGCAGCCCAGGATACGATTGGCCTTCTGGGCTGCGAGCGCACATTGCCGGCTCATGTCCAGCTTTTCATCCACCAGTACCCCCAAGTCCTTCTCGGCAGGGCTGCTCTCCATCCCTCCATCCCCCAGCCTGTATTGATACCGGGGGTTGCCCCGACCCAGGTGCAGGACCTTGCACTTGGCCTTCGCACATCCCACCACATGATCCAAACACTGGTTAAAAGCACAGAAAAGCTGTGTGATATTAATCTACGCCAGCATGCGCTAACAGGAGAGACTAACGTAACCATCACCTGCCCAGTGAATCCGCACTTGTTCAAGTGAAGAAGACAGCAACCGACTTCACCCAAAAATGGAGGAGGCCCCGTAGGAATGAGACTATTATCCAGGAAGGCAAAACAAGCAGTGGCATTGGTAAGCCCCTCTGAGAGATCCCACTGCAGTGACCAGACATGTACTGACCTCGGACATCTGCGGGAAGAGACTGATGGCCAAGGGGAGGGCCAGGCCAAAGGCAGCGAGGCACACAAGGCTTTGGACTGGGAGAATCATCCGGGGACGGGACCTCAGGAGTGATGTTCTGGAAAGGAAAGGCTTCGTTAGACCATTTCATAGACCAGGTGAGTGCACGCCATCATCAGAACGGACACTGGTGTTCACCCAGACCTACTGGTCTCCCTCTCCCTAACTGGTCTAGTTTCCTTCTTAGTAGGTCATCAACAAGTTCACCCACAAAAGATCCCGAGTCCTGCACACTGTGCTTTTGCATCTGCTGGGGTTACACAGCCCACGCCAACCAAGTGCTCGCTTCTCCTAAATTAAAATAGGCTCACTTCACACACGCTTCCCCCATTTCAAATCATCTCACACCGGAGTAAACGGCACACGAGGCGATCTGGCCGCACGCAGGTGTCACCTGCATTAAGGCTTTGGAGACTGTTGAGTGAGCAGAAGGAAATTAGGTTCTTGAGAGATATTGTGAACTTTGTTGGCCCTATCACGCGGTGGTACTGAAAAAGGCACGCGACTTTGTTAATGGGGTAGTAAAGTAGTAAACTTGACAATACCTTAATTTGTCAAAAATCAAACATCTGCAGAGTGGGTGATAAGGATGTTTTAACACTTGCTGTCCCCAGAGGATATTTATGAGTTCAAGGCTTGTTAACAGCAAACACTTTAAGATACCTGCAAGGTCAGATTCTGATAACGACCCATTAAGTGACCCTTCTGATGTAATTAACACCGAATGACAGGGACAACATTTAGCTGGTAGAAGGTAGCATGTTAAGTATATCCCAGGATACAGGACCTCAGACAGTGTACAAACGTTAAGGGGAAAAAATGTAATTCTTGAGGGGTTTGTTCTGGAGCTATTTACACCGAAAGGACACCTGTCATTCAACTTTTTTCTACCAATCTGAAACAACTGGGAATATAAACCAGCGACTTAATAGTGAGTTTTGTTTGAATATTCAGTGTATATTAGCAATGTAGAGTCAGCAGATTCGCTGCTGGGTCATCAGCTATGGTCTTAGTCCCAACGTGCATCTCTCCTCTGTCCATCCTGACCTTGAGGACGCCAATGCCTCATGGTGTCCTGCCATCAAACATGGGCAAAGATCTGCCGGTTAATGCCTTTCCACTGGGGTGATAACACAGGAGCTCCCTTTTGGTCAGGGAAGGTACAATCAGATTACACTAACCGCTAAACATCATCATCACTGGGGTTTTAAGAAGCATTTCTAATCTATTGCGCACCATTGACGAGGTGCCCACCAAAAACAAGACAAGCAACCCTTCCCACATCAGGGCACGCCGCTAGCCTGCTTTGGCACACACACCCCAGTGATTTTGCAGGCACATCTCCCCATGCAGCCCGTGCCTGCAGCCAATGCAAGATAACAGATTACCTCAACCCCCGTCTACTCCACGTTTACTGCAGGCTACAAACACGCACCTGATGAATTATAACGGAGCAGCTGATGTGTGGGAACTTGTTACCCTGCTGTACGTTGTCTGTGTGTCTGAACATTCAGAATCTTTGCCCTTTGCTAGCAATGCTTGCTGAAAGCTGTCTTCATCTTGAGAAGGTTTGGGGGAAGTGGGGAAGGAAAACAAGATCCAGAGCCTTAACTCCTCCGATATCTCAGCTCCTCACTAATAAGCTATCGAGACGGGAGTTGATCCTATCAATTTGTGCTGTGAAAGCCAAGCTTCTGTTCTGCAATATTTAGCTACTTTGTTTTGCATAGCGCACGATCTAACCTAAAAGACTCCTGCAGAAGTCCACAAGGATTTTGTCCGAGTCAGGAAAGCAGGTTACCTTGCTCCACGCTCTTTAACAAGTGCAACGTTCAAGAATTGCCATCAATAAGCTGTGATAACTAGTCCCCGGGATGCAGAGGGGCAACTCCTGGAACCGATTTATTCTCCTGCTTAAGCTGTTGTGATCCATGAGAGCCCTCGCTGAGAAAATCATATGACCAGCATCCTTCAAGCCTCCCTGGAGTACAGTTTAGAACCAAGACATCACTGCTTATACCACCCCTGATATCTTAATTTGGAAGCTACACCCTCTTTAATTACTGCCCTGTTGGGGACCTTATAATCACCCAAGTAAAAACTCAACCAATTTAAAATGATCCCCGGTACAGCCCCCAGGTGTGATTTCCAGGAGTGCTTCAAACTCAGGCCAGTTCAAATTACAACGGCTAACCTCCTAATTAAGAAGAGTTATGGCTTGATTTAAAAAGGAGAGGGGACTAATTAACACATGTAGTGTAATGTCTTAATTGGGATTCAGATTCTAAAATTTGTGTAGTTCAGAATAAATGACTCATAATTAGTCGAGAGGTCCACTTTTCTTCTGTCCCTCGGATCTTTGCTCTCGACACAGATCTCAGAAGAGTATTAAGTTAAATATTGCATGCTGCATTTTGTTAGCTGTCAAATGCAATCAAAAAACCCTCTTTTCACCCATTAGCCCCCCATCGGAAGTGAATGATTAGATGTTTCCAAAGGGTTTAATTGCAGAGTATTATAGCAGATTAAAAATAAATACTATTAATATCCATTTGTTGAAGAGTGAATTAGTTTACGACGCTGCCCTGTGTGCTCTGCCAAGGGGTTTGGTCAGGGAAGTGGAGGCGTGGACCTTTAGATCCCCCTGACAGCCCAACTTTGCCATTGGCATCTTCTGAAGCAGACCGCTATATTCACAAGAGCAAGTATCATCTTACCCTACCAGTAATTCTGCAGAAGTACTTGAAGCTATTTTCATACGAGAACAGTAGTTTTACAGACTGTCACCATGTACACAGGACAGGACTGGCTTCAGGCTCAGATTAGACAACATGGGATTGAAAAGTTTGCACCAAGAGAAGGTCTCACATTGGAAATCTGTAGGAAGACAATAATATGTATGTATCGTTCCCAATTTTAGAAGCCAAATTTTTGGCACCAATGGTCTGCCTCGCTAGTATAAATGATCCATGTTTAGACATCGACCTTTGGACGGCAAAGAACATGCATTTTTGCAATACTTCCCTCGTCCTCTCTCTTTTTTTCTTCTTTTTTTTTTAAAGATTATTTTCTTTACCCGCCTTCAAAACCCCCTAATGCCTATTCGTTCTGCAATTTGCCTTCATAAGACTTGCCTAGCAGATATTAAAAAAGCAGTAACACGCTGGGGAGCTTCTGGCTTACCGATCCTAGGTAGCACCTACTGTTAACGGATATACCTAAACCAGCAAGACCTTACGGATAACATTTCAATATGCATGAGTGTGCATGTACGTAGGTATATGCACAGACACACGCATACTTGTACAGACAGTACATCTGCTCCGCAGAGACAGTGTGTTGTAGATCTTGTAAATACACCTTCATTCAACTTTCATCACATTGTTCATTAGTGGTTTAAATTTTGCATAATTTGGCAGCTGCCTCTGGCGTTTTTCAAGAGGTGCTGTAATTTATTCCATATGGAAGTCAGTTGCTGTACTAAAAAGGAGTTATCAGGTTCAGTGAACCAGAGCTGTATTTGTCTAGAAGGAGGTGTCAGATGCTAAACTAAATATGACAGGAGTTAACCAAAGTCTCCCAGCTGACAGATTCTGTGGGGTTTCTGTAGTGTTTGGTATAAACAGGTTCAAAGCTAATACATACATCGCAAGACACTGAGGATGCCAGTGGGGTAAGAAAAGTGCTGGAGGCTGAAGCTCTGGGTATCCCCAGGCATCCCAGGCTCCTCAGAGCCCGGGGTTCAAAACACCCCCCTGATGTGCAAACAAACTTCGGGGTGGTTGTCCTACCCCAGATCCCAGTTCTGCTGAGAACCTCCCAGAGCCGGCACCGTACCACGACTCTGCTTCAGAGAGCCCGTCAGGTCTCTCTGCTGTCTGCAGAGGGTGTTTCTGAGCTTTTCTCACTCATTTTGGGTCATCTGGGGAATCCTGAGCTCTTCTAGCGACCAGTAGCTCTGTCTGCTGTCCTGTCCAGCCAGGCGACCGCTGTCCTCGCCAAGGAGCATCTCCTGCGCTTGGTTATAGCCCCAGTGCCCCCTCCAGAGGACACAGCAGATGCAAACAGAGTGAGGTTGGGGGATTTTTGTGCTTGATTGACATAATTAAAGGAGCAGTTTCAATGTTTACTCTGGAAACAGCCACAGCAGTTTAAGGTGTCACTGCTGGCAGCTGTTTAGTTTAAACAAACTTCAGCGAGGGTTTAGCTGGACGGAGAGACTTTGCACTTCAGAGGAGGAAAAGCACTTGTAGGAAACGTTCCGCACACTCTGTCAGAAGGAGAATATCTCCAGCAAAAGGCCACGAACACAAGGTCCAGGAGGGCCTCCTATCTCACACACATTTCTGCAGTGAAAAACATGATTTAAGCTGAAGAAAACTCCCTTCCAGCACCAAAAAAACCATGGTCTGAGCACTCGCTATCCATCAAGAGAATCCATTTTTCATGGTTAGAATGACTTAGCTAAGCCAGAGCAGCTCTATAAAGTTGATCCATCTTGGGAGCCTCCTAATTTTATGACCTTTACAGGAAAACTGCCCTGACGACTGCTGCGTGAGGATGCTGACATGCTGTGGCAACTCTGCCACAAGATCAGGATGGTGTGGAGATGAAGAAAGTAGAAACACTCTTCTTTCATGGACACAACTATTCTGCTCCCTGCTTCTCTCTCGGCTCTTGCCCATTGCCAACAGTTCCAGCTTTCTCTCTCCTTCATAAACACTGCACAGTCAGCTGTAGGGCTTCCTCTTGTCTAGCCTGACATACGTGAGCTCTTGGAGACCATCCTCAGACCTTCTGCTGTGCTTCAGACCCTCTGAGGTTGCTTGTACTGTGAGGCAGAGAAGAGGCTTTAGGATAAGGAGATAAGAAGAGCTCACATTCTTCAGTCTCCACTGCCAGCTATCAGCTCAAAGTGTCCACAGCACACATTGCTGGTGGACTGAGCTGTGGTCTGCTTGTCCACCACTTGCCCAGACCACATGAACCAAGTACCACTGGATTTGGGCTCTCCCGCCACAGAGCTCAGCCTACAGGAGAACCTGAGGTTGCACTTACACACAGACCTGGACGGTCTACACATAGACCAGCTGCACGATTGGCTTCAACTCTGCAAGGAGTTGGAAGCCGGACAAAGACTACTGGAGAAGTCTTGGATGATGGCTGGGAGAAACCTGCACCATTTCGCAAATTTCATCATAACTACCAGACAAAAAGATTCACAGAAGCATCTGAATCCTGGAAATGTCTGAGGGATGAGAAGTCCAACTTCATGCAGTGGACATAGTTGTCCCCTCATCTCTGTGACATGGAGGTACTAATGAAGTTTCCATTGTCTGCTCCAAAGTCAACTACATCCCATAGATGAGTCGTCTTTGTCTCATGGACAATGTGAAACCAATATTTTTCCGTATTAAAGTTGCCAACGTGGACATTATTTATAAAACTTAAATGAGAATACATCTGCACAAAATAACTGACACCGTGTTCCCCGCATGGCATATGCAGTCTCAAAATAAACATTGATTCTATATGTTAGCTGCTTCAACAGAGCGTCCAAGCAGCAGGAAATGCATGAAACATGGGGAAAGAATGGCGCGCTGTGGAGCTCAGCAGTGGGAGGTAACATTGAATTACTTGGAGAGCAGAGAAGGCGGCCCTGGGAGTTAAAATACACAGCAGGCAAAGAGACGAGAGAAGCCAAGAGAGCTGAAAAAAATGGCACAAGAGATGAGAGAGGCAGCTGGGGGAGTTAAAACATGCAGATGGAGAGATGGCTGAGAGAGAGGAAAGACCTGGATCCAAGTGGAAAGACGACGACCAGGAACTGGCCACTTAAAATAAACTTTTCGAATACCGAGACGAAAACGAGGGAGCGAGTTTTCCATGAATCTGAAAACCGCTGCCGGGAGCACGTAGCTTGCTCCTGGGGTGGTGCAACTCCCACCCAACTGCAGCACTGTCACCCACTTCCACCTGGACTTAAACGCAAGGCAGGAGAATCGCTCTCCTCCTTCGCCACAACCCCAAATGCAAATGACTTAGTAGAGGATCCAGATTGCGACTTCTGATTCCAGATCTCCAGCCTCCAAATAATAAGCCGTCACTCTCATCTTTCTCATTTATAGACACTGTAAGGATTTCTATAAATAAATTGATAATGCATGCCTTGATATGACTCTCATTAAAAACGCCCTAGTCTAACTAAAATTCTACTAAATTAAAAAAGTTAAACTTTTCACCAAATGCTCCGAGGTTTTTTTCCAAAATGAGGTTGCACCTTTGACCGTGTCCTTCAATAACCACTTTAAAAGATCTGTGAGTCGTCACCTGGACTGCGAATCCCTCGGCTATGGAAAGGGATGCTCTCCATGTCAGGTGGATGCTTCCATGTCCTACAGGGATACCACCTCTACCTGCCTGGCCAAACCGCACCCCCCTCCCTATCCCTGCTGTTTCTCACTCACGGGCCTCCAGGAATTCAAAGATATTTGATGGAAAATGAAACAGTAGGCACAAAGCTCTAAGTAGAATTTAGGCAGCCAAAAATCAGTGCTCAGGTATTTTTATATCTACAGAGTTTCATTTGGGGGTGGTGGAGAGGAAAGTATTCTCTTGTAAACCTGAATTAAGTCTTTCTATCAGTTAAAATGACGACTTTTTGAAGACAACCTCCTGTATTCCTACATTTGCTTGACAGATAAAATTAGTTTCGGTAAGTCTTGCACAGAGCACAAGTGCATTTAGTAAAACTCATTATATCAGCACAAGAAGTTATGATGCCTCCAAGTGCGAAGCAAATTTTACTGTTAGTTTTCTTTGAGCTTCTGGATGTTTAGCAAGACCCATGGTGGTCCTCAGTGACGACAATCATTTACAGACCAGATTTCTAGAAACTTTGAATTTTTGCACATAAAGATTTTTGACTGTTCCTGTTGATAACCAGAATAGCAAAGAACCTCTGAATTATATGGATAAAATAGTTTGTCCTCTAGGGTGATCCTTCCTGGATGAGCTAATCACCAAGGTATGGTTAGACTGGAACCAGTGCCCGTGTTAAGCCAGGGGTAACACACGCAGCCCCTTCGGTGCAAAGCCTCACTGTGACAGAAAGGCGAAAAGAAAGAGCTCTGTGGTAAGAACATCCACAAATCGGTGGCATTTCTGAAGTGTCTGGCATGTGGACAGATGAAAACAGAAGTCCTCTCGACTGACAACAGCAAAGCAGCTTTGATGGGATTATAAAGGCTAGAATCACGCATCTGAATTTGAAGCAGGGAAGCTGCCAAGATGCTGGGGTACAAAGATAAGTGACAATCCCTGTTCTTCTTACACACGATTTTGAGCAAGCCCTGAGTAAGGTACTCCAGAGTACGGTACTCCAGAGTAAGGTACTCCAGAGTAAGACATGGTCACTCCTGAGCACCTCTCCTGCAGGTAGATCATGGGCTGGGGGACCGTGTGGGTGACACAGGGTCTTGAAGCAGGAAAGAGGCTGCAGAGCTTCTGTCAAGGAGGAGCATGAAGTGAAAATCAAATGCTTTGCACAAAATTAGGGGGACTGGAATCTACCCCTTGTCCTTGCGTGTCTCCAGCAGACGTCTCCAAAGAGTGGCTTGCAGCAAGTGTTACCAAGACTGTGCCCTGCTGCAGGGAACCACCACAGCCCCTTTGAAAAAGACAAGAAAACAGTGTATTTTGGCCAAAAAGGGCTGAAAGAACTTACTTTAGAGTTCCCAAAACAGAGTTTGTTGCCCTGTTTTTCCCCACACCCAGGCCATGGGAGGAACCGATCTTGGTGAGAGCCTCTAGGTGCTAGAGAGGTACCAGACTGTATCTATGTTTTTAAATTTAGATGTTCAAAATCAGTCTCCAAATTTACAGAAGCAGCCCCGACCCTTCCCTTAAGGAGAGAAAATTGCCCAGGGGTGTTTCTACAAGGGTAAACAAGGCTAACCGAAGTTATGGGTCAATCCCTAATTGCACTAATTACTATTTACTTTGTCAGTGGAGTGCTTTAGAGCGGCCATTATCAACAGATTTGTTTAAAGAGTGCTTCCAGCTTGGCTGTCTGGACAAAGGTAGCAAGCCCTTTAGCACCCCCATCTTTCAATGCACTAATCAGTCTCCAGAGGCTGGCAAGGTGATCCCTACCCCACGGATTATTCACACCCAACGAGCCGCTGATGGGTGTCCTAAGGAGCCACAGGTACCCAACGGCTCCAAAGAGGCTCACAGCATCTCTGGGCAGGAGAAAAAGCGGAGGTGTTGGAAAGCAAGGTGGGAGAATGGCCAATGGACAGGGCAGTTTGGGTTTTTTTGGTATTAAGAACTCTGACAGGAGATAAGTGGACATGAAATAACAACCCTGCCCTTTCCTGCCCACCCTCCTAGCACTGTTGCTCCACGGAGACATCTGCCAGGAGAGATTCTGGCTTAAACAGTGATGGAAAGCAAATTTCTGCAGAGTATGTGAAGCGTATATTCTTCTGGGCCTTAGCCACAGCCACCAAGCCACACCACGATATCGAACAAAAGTACAAGTGAGTTCAAACAGGGCATAAGCAAGTCCAACAGTGGCCAAGGTGGTCTGGACGCGGCGCGTGGTCAGCAAGTCCCTACACTCCCTATCGCTGGCTGAACACAAGCCTAGACCTTCAGTCTGACCCCATGTGGCAGCTCTAATGTGTGCTAAGCGGAGGACTGAAAACTTACGGACACTTCACTGAATTCAGAGTTTTGGCTCACGTTGACCTTACAGAATTGTTATTCAAACTGCTGGGGTCTCAGAAAGATGATTTAAAATAACCACATCAATACAACACTTTAACAGCCTACAACAATGGTCAAAAATGATGGAACATGAAAATTTTAATAAGCAAAAAAAGTCTTTGATGGACCAATGCTAAGAAATATCAATGAATAACACCTGCTGAGGATCTTTTCTCCCCTCCCCTTGAAAAGCCCCCCCTTCGTATTACCCAACACTTACTTTTCCAGTATGGACATAATAATTGGAGGTAGAACCAGTATAGGCATTGGCAGGACCACTCTAGTCAGGGCCGTTTCTAGCAGTGCCTGAAAGGGAAAAACAAACAAACAAACCCAGGACATTTAAAACAAATCTCAGGATGTACCTGCGCTGAGCAATCAACGCGTGGGCACAGAAATGGTTTGGCTGGCCTTTCTTGTGTTGCGTATGTGAATGAATGTATCAACACACACTTTCAACTTCGCTATCAGCTCTTTGTATACAACCCATTTTTGCTCTGTTGCTACAAACGGCGGGCTGGAGCCCATACTTGGTCACAAATCCAGCAGAATAAACAGAGACACCTAATAGCTTCCCTGATTTCACTTTATGTGACCAAAAGTGTTCAAACATCTCGTCACACTCCTACACAAACACGTTAGTGCTGCCTGGGGGAAGAAAGAGAGGCAAAACAGCTGCCGGGAGGATGCGGTAAGGTGAAATATCTCAGTACGGGCTGAGCAGCAGCTTCAACCCTTCCTCCTTTAACTGAATTTCAATTCCAATTATGTGCTGGCGGAACACGGTACCTTATCACCTGCTTCCAAGACTTGTTTCTGTTTTTTTAATCACTGGTGGTTTATTGCAAAGCATCGTAACACACAGGGCTCTCCTCTCTCAGGAAGACACCCAACTGCGGAGCTATGGTTGTCCCTCTGCCGGTGCTTTCTCCCTGGCAAGATTCACCAGAAAGCAGCAAACAGAACAGCTTGGCAGCATGATACATTTAAATTACCCTGAAATGAGACCTAGAGAAGATCATGGGCGCTCTAGCAAGGTGGTTAAGCATCACTGTGTCTTCATTTACCTCTTCCAACCACCTTTGCCAGCACCCACCTGGGATACTCCAAACACTGTGACCACCCGTGGGGCTTCGGCAGACCTAGGCAGAGGATACCACAGATTTTGGATGGAAATGCTGAAACTTATGCATACAGACAGGCTTGGGAGCACTCACTCCTTCCAAATGGGAGAAGGTCAGAGAGGTGCAGATGTGCTACACAAAGGATCTACCAAATTTTACACGACAAAACCCAGTACTAAGCTATTCAGGAAGAAGCATCGGGATTAGATGGCAGCTGAGCAGAAGTTCTCAGAAGTTCCAAATTTGATGTTTAAACTCCACCTAAATCACACTTACAATACCTTCACTTTTAATATTTATTTTCTGTGTTGTCTGTCTTCCCCTCGACCATTAGGATGGAAAGGGGAAGCTGGGTCCTGAAGCCAGTTAATGTGAGTGAGGAAAACTGGCTCAAATAAGTATCTCTGAGCCCTTCAACAGATTGTTTTAATCTCCCTGTTAAACAACAATATGGAGAGATATTAGAGATCTCCCATTTCTTGCCGAGGACTGTAAATCTGTACATTAATTGCTGTCTATGAAGTGCCTTAAGAGCCTTGGACAGAAGGAGCGAGAGAAATGCCAAGCATTATATTATTAACTCCTCTGCCTGGGCGTGTGCTTTGGTACATGCTTTACATTTCAGATTAAAGCCCACTTGGAAACAACATGCCTCAGACAATCAGATGATGCTCAGAAGACAAAACTATGTAAGAAGGGAAGAAAAGGGAATAATTGCAGGCAGATGGCAGAGAGTGGAAGGTTATGGGGGAAAACAAACCAGGTGTTAGGATGAGGATAAAAACATCTGGCTACCCTCACAAAGCTTTGGTTGGCAATCGTTAATGCAGTTTTGACATGGCAAGGGTTAAAAAGCTACTCAGCTCGAAAATGAAGTCTTCCTCATTTAGAAAAAGGTGTAAGTTATCTTTGCTTCGTATTCAACATGAACTGCTTACAAGTTTCCACAAAGAAATCCTAAGGCTGTGAATGTATCAGAGCAGTACAGGATCTTCCTGATGTCAGTCTGCGCCCTTCCAAACCATCAAGGTCAGCCACCGAATCTGCCTGCGTGACACGAGCCTGTGTCCACCAGCACACTCAGTTTTGTGGCTACGCAACTGCATGCGTGGGTACAAAGCAGGCATTAAGTTTTGCCGCTTCGTTCTTCCTGCACGATGGGTAAAGCTCATCTATTCCTAGCTCTTTCAAGGCATCGATTCCTACGGCTGTGGGATTCGTTGAGCCTGAAGGCCAGCTGTGTACAAGCTCACCCGAGTGTTCGCCAGGAACATCACAGGTACATACGTGTTTTGCAGCAATTCTGGAAGACCCGACAATGTTTCCGTTATTGTCCAAAACATCAATTCCTTCTTCCAGCTCTGTGTGCCTCATCAGGACAACATTGCAGATATTGGCACTAGCTGAGGATGAGAAAAGCATGATGATTAGCAACGCAGCCCTGGTCAATACCAAATGGCAGGCTTCTGTTCGCCGTGACAGCCCTTCAGCTTTGCTTGCATCAATCTGCCAAGAAGTTTCTGCAAGTCAAGGAGCCACTCTTATACCAAGACAAAGATGTGATTCTTAAGAGGAGAATAATAATCAAGATAATTTTCTTTTACTTGCAAAAGGATCTGCTGCCACAATCAGAAACGTATTGACGCAAAGAAATACCAGTATTTCCCGTTGTTGGTGTTCGGACATGCTCTCAACTCTCATAGCAATTCTTCGCCCGACATTTTGATCTACTAAGTCAAATGTGTCCTTGCACCGGGCTACCAGTTGGTCTTGGCCAACCAGGCACTGCTGATTGACAGCTGCCTCCTCTGACGGTACATCCCAGAGCTGGTTTTAACTCCCCTTACGAAGCCAGCAGACAAACTCTTCTTAAATAATGGATTTTAGCAGGTATGATGGAAATACACTGCAAGGGATTTCACTGAGCTACGAAGGACAGCTTAGATCTGAGCTCTTAAAGAGGACAGAATTATTTTTTTTTAATCAAATAAGACAAGGTTGGGCTGTTTCCATGGACAAATATCTCATTAGCAGGGGTCCTGCTGACTATTTGCCCTTATTTCACAGGTATTAGAGGAAAAATGGCTCTGTGGACTTATTTTCTATTAGAGACCTGCTTGTTTGCTTTAACAGTATTTTTCCAAACTGCGACACAAACCAGCAGTGCTTTGGAGGACTCTGGCTCCCAACATTCACATTTCCCAAATATCAGCCCTGCATTCGCAGCGGAGGCAGAGGCAGCTCTGGGACCCTTTCTGATACCCCCGCCTCGCCCAGCCTGTGGCTTTTGTAGCCTTCTCGAGGTAACCCCAAATTCTGCTCCTCAAGTAACGTGTTAGAGTTGGGGCTGAGGAACGTCCTTCCCAGATGCAGCTCCTCTCCAGGGCCCAGGCACTTCTTAAATTTTTCCAAAGAAAAGCTGCTAATTCCTATAAAAGTTTTGGTTTTGATAAAATGGCATTTTCCAGCAAAAAACACCCCCCCCCCTTTTGTTGCAAACTTTCCAACCAGAACTAAAACAAACCCACTGTTGCTGCAAGTACCACTGCTTCCAAAAATGTGTTTCTGTACTGCTTGATGGGTTAATATTCGCTAATTAATCTCAATTCATGTCATATAACAAATGTCTAATTTTTTGAGGGTGGTGGGTGGGTGAGCCCTATACGAATGCAGCTCTCTGCAATCAAGGATGATTTGTGGTGACAAATGCTCCTTACACTCGAGAATAAGAGGAACATACACACACGCACACTCTGTCTCTCTCTTTAATATTCAAACTACCGGACCACTCTTCCCATCTATCAAAATATCTGCGTTACCAACCCTTCAGCTCCCTAATCCAAGACAAAAAAGAAAACAGGCATTTCATTTAAAGCAAGTTTAGCTCCTCTTTTTTTTTCTTTTTTAACACTCACATGCCCCATCCTTCTAGCTTTCAGTCAAGACTGAACATATAAAAACACACCAGCAGAGATGCTCTGGCCAAGCCAGGATGCACCGGCACAAGGCTCTTGCGAGACTCATGATGGGGTGTCCAGACATGAAGCTCCCACCACAGTTAGATGCTTCTCCAAGTCTCTGGATCCTATTAGGGCTTCACTGATCAGGTCCCAGATTCAAACCCTGATTCCAGACCGTTTGTCTGAGACAAGCAACTGTCTTAGTTGCTCCCGTTCTGTTTCAGTAAAACACTGAGAAAGCAGAAAAAGCTGCTAATTATGGGTGAACTTGGATTTTATGGAAGTCTCAAATACAGGGGGAATGATAAATAAATAAATATATATGTAGACAATGTGATTTTCAGAATTTGGAAAAAAAAACTTGATAATATAGCCTGGAAACTACTTCTGTGAAAACACTTAGTGACATATTGGAAACTGAGTTCAGATACAAAAGCAACCCACTACCCTACTTCTACACATGTATAAATGTCCTTTCTAAACCAGGGTGCTCTCCACATGCTAAATATGCCCTTGTGCACCACCTAAACACATTTAACAATGTGTTAAATTGTTAACCCCACAAAACAAACACAAAAAAACCCACCCACAAAAAAAAAAGCCCAAGGAGAAGAAATCCTTCCTCCTCCTCACCTCCCTTCCCTCCAACGGGTATCTTTCTACCAGCTTTAACTTCCTTTGGATCAGGTTTGGGATGCCACCTTTGGGGTTTTGGGGGGTTTTCTGTGGGTTTTTTTAGCCACATACATCTCTAGTATAAAGCACACCATCACCAGCGACACCCCTTACCTTCGTGACAGCTATCCACACCCAGTGCTTGGGAAGAAGTGGGTAAATTGGATCCTTCACAATAACCCCGGGCATTGATGTCCTTCACCACCTACATCTCCAAGAAAGGGTCAAGCCCCTTCTTCTTCAAATTCAGGAATTGCAGCTCTCCAGAACACAGCACGAACACACTCCTTCCCTTCTCCTGCACTGAAAACCTTCATGGAGCACAACTTCACCGCCCAGACATTGCTCCGGGGCGGCCAACATCAAGCACGAACCCCTCTTGCATCAAACCAGCCACTGGGTATGCAGAGCCTTGGCCATTTCCATGAGTTCTTCCACCCAGGATGGTTTGCTGGATCCATCCCCCGGGGCTGAGGAGGATTTTTCAGACAGCCTGTGATTTTCAGCTACTACAAATTACCTCTGGCGGAGGGTGAGGGCACGGTCTGACCTCCTGGCACCCTGCTCCAGTGCCACCGGCCACGACGTGGGGATCAGAGCAATCGGAGCCTGCACCAGCTACTTGGGTACATTCATGACTGGCCACAGTCTGTGTTGTCACAAGTGAGGTCTGGAGGCCCCTGCAGATACATCCTCATGCCCTGCACTTATCTTGGGGTCCCACGGTGAAAGTGGATTTCAAGGAGGAACCACTATGTTAAATACGCCCTACAGGCAGCACTTCTGCGGATATGGTTTAGTTTATTGGGCAAAGACAACCGTTACATGACCCAGAGAAGACAGACACAACATGTGGAGCACGTCTGAGGGCAGCAAGACTCATAGACCAGTTTTCCCAGGGCCTGCCCCAGCTTCCCAAGGCTTTACAAGGCTGTTTATTGACATCCCTGCTGGGACTCCGGCTGTCTTTCACCTGAGCCGTAGCTGCGCTACCCCAAGTCTCCATCTCTCATGATCCCTTGGGATGAGAGACCATAAAGCTTTGATGCATACCTCCAGTTTTCCAGCTGCTGTCAACCAGCACAGCTCAGCAGAGGTCAGTGGGAGAGGGAGGTGAAGAAGGGCCAGGGGAAAACTGCTTAATGGTAGTGGAGCAAAAGCTTTACACCAGCATCTGGCTTTTCACATAGAAAAGGTGAAATTCTGCCCTTTTGCTGGGAGCTGGCGGTTCAAAAGCAACAGGAAGACACATCTTAATTAAACAGTTTGTCCAGGTCTGCAAACCAATAACTTGCAGCTTTCAAAACCACAAAACAGCCATTAGTGGGAGGATTTCTAATGTCCTGGCACATAACGAAGCATGACAGTACACAAATAAAACAAGAACTAAAGAATTAATTATGGGCTAAACGACTTAATTATGGGTCCTCAATCAATGCCAACACAAGCATAACCTCTTTCTCCTCACACTTTGGTAAGAAAATAGATCAACCCGGCAGCAAAGACTTCCCGCGTGAATCTCTGACTCAAACCCAGGCTCGGAGCTGCCTCCTGGGTCTTGCGCTCACCTCTAGTGCCCTCCTGGTTATAAAAATCAAAAGAAAGCTGAAACCCTCTAAAAGTATATTCCAGGAAAGTTCCAGGAAAACAATAACAACGTCCACAGATTCCCTATATAGAAGCAAAGTGCTCAGAAAAAAGACTGAGTGCAACCTACAGACCACAATCCCTGTTACCCCCTGCTCTACAGACAGGGCAACCAATAACCTGGGGCCTTTATAAATAAACAAGCGTATATAAAAAATTACCCTTACGCCACTGGCGATTTCTTCAGAGCTAAAATAACTCATCGTTTGCTGAACGCTGTAACCACGGGCTTCAGCAAAGGCTGAGTCCAGCATGTCCCTTCCCTCAAACACCGAGCAGTTAGCTGATAAACTGCAGAAGGGTTTATTTTGTGCTCCAGCAAGCCAGCAGCAGCCTTAATTCTTCACACACTTCGGTCTTTTTTTAATCGGTGGCTCTTAGAAATCTGTACATTCAGAGGAGGAGCATTTCATTGCATTTTTATTGCAAAAAAACCCTAACGCTACCGCTTATTTGAAGATTTGATTTGACATGATTCAAACCAGGTCTTGCGAATTAAATGCTCTTGAATTTGGACGGTCGAGGACCAGTCAACACCGATTATTTTTTAAACTGCTTGAGAGTGGAAAGTGCAGCTTGATAAAGCCTCGTGAGCTGCCTCCGCCAGCAGCTTTGCATCATCCCGTCACTGTCTGCACTGACTCAGGGACCCACCGCCGAGGGGACACGGCAGCAACGGCGTAAAGCAGGAAGGCAGGAGTTAGGTGTCCATGCCAGTGGCTTTCAGCCACGGGTAGGTTTACAGCCATCACTTTGAATATAGAGAAAAGGTGTTATTTCTTACCGACAGCAGGGAATGGCACAAACCTCTGGATCAAGAGACGAGTGGCAGGGGTAAACTTGTTTGCTCTCTGAATCAGAACATTAAGGCCCACCTTTCAATAGAAAAAAAAACAAAACAGAGAAGCAGAAACATTTAGCTACAAGGAGCAGGGCAGATGCCACAGCTTGCAGACAGCAGCAGAGCTCTTCAAGGGGACAGACTGGGGTCTCTCCCCATGCAGAAGCGTTTGAGAACTAACCCCCCCCTCCCCCAGGCAGGGTTTAGCTGTGTTGGGTTCAACCCTTTATTCAACGAAGGGTTGAACCCAACCATTGGGTTGAACCCGACCGTTGGGTTTAAATGAAGGGCTGAACCCAACCATTGGGCTGAACCCAACCATTGGGTTTAAACCCTTTCCAGCCAAAAGACAAGCTAGAAACCACTGCAACGTCGTTCGGTCCTTCTGGATCTGCATTTTTACCCAGTTCACTGGCATTTTCCCCACCCAGCACAAAATCAGTAGGGCTGGGAGTCATCACCCGGCTAGGAAAAAGCCAAATATCAGTGGTGGTGGTTGGCCCAACATAAGTCATTCCTCCCCCAGGGGTCTGTGCAAACTACATCACCCCACTCCACTGCAAACATTTGGGCTATAAAGGAGCTATTAATAGAAACAAGAAATAGCAGGCAGTTTATTATAACCGTGGATCATTTTTCTGTTGCCTCCTCCAACACTTGAATAATGCAGAGCTCTCTGCAGTTTTGCAGGGATCTAAGTCATTGCATATGTTAATATAAACAGCACGGAGGAGAGTTGCTGCCTCGTCAGCCTCAGCGTGGTTGGATAGTAGTGATAGTCAGAGAATTTCCATCAAAATTTGTTTCAAGCAGAACTGGGGTTATTAATTAAACAAACCTATTTGCAGGGAATGACTTCTGTCTTCAGATTACTCTCCCCTTCCATATTTTCTCTTTTTCATCCAAAAAAACCCCAGATGCGCAAACAAAACCCAACAGCCCCAAACCGCGAATTTTAGGCCGAAAATGGAAGTCTTTAGCAACGCCTGGCCAAAAAGTTTTCAGCCAAAAACGCAGCAAAATTTAAAAAAAAAAAAATTCAGCCAAAGCCAAAAACCTGCCAGCAAATAGTGATTTGGGGTCTTTTTAAAAAAAAAAAAAGAAAGAAAGAAAGAAAAGAAAAGAAAAGAAAAGCATGGGAGAACATATTTTGCAAGCTGCTACATTATACATGCATCCGCAGCGCATCTCGCTTTTTTGGAGGCTGAGGGGAAGATGTTGAGAAGCACAACTGCTGGGTAAGCCCTGCATAAGTAGAGTGCTGGTTTTCAAAACCCGTGGAGCGTTTCCAGAGCCCCACGAGGCTTTCACCAAGACCCCAAGCAGGAACCCTTCCTCCTCTCCTTGGCCACCGCGACTCTAGCACTGAGCCCGAGAGAACCACAGCGGTTCTTCTTAGTCTGGGCAAGAATGAGGGTTTTGTCTTAATCTTCTTCTCCCTCAGAAATGACTGAATGATTTATTTTTTTTTTTACGTTTTCCAAGTGCTGGGATGCATATTTGCAAAATCTGAATGCTTCCAGAAACTGTAAAGCAGTCTAAAACGTGTGGCTTTAAGAGTAAAAGTAAAACAGTCTTAAGCCCGGCTTTGCTGGTACTGCCCCATGGATTCGGGTATTTATAGCCTGGATGCAGTTCATCTGTGTACATGACAAATTTTGTTGGGTTTGCAGCCTCTGCTTGTAGGTTTGATGGAAGGATTTGACCGTGAAGTGGAAGAGCAGCAGCTTTTGAAACAGAAAAGATGAGTCTGGGAGAGACACCGCTGTGAGGCTAGTGGTAATAAAAGCATTTTACTTTCAGATTCAATTTGGTGCTGCAGATGAACTCGCTCCTCCACTTACAGCAACCACCCCGCTGTGAATATGAAATTAAATGTTGCTATAGATTTAAATCCAATCTCCCAAATTCCCAACATGAGGACCAGATTTAGGAAACTAATGAGGGTTTGTTTTTTACAGTTTTGAAATTGCTTTAGCCAATCTGTGAACTCTTTCCCGCAGGTCACGAAGTGGGATGAAGGTAAACAGGTCAAGGAGAGTATCCGACAACGAGCAGGTACTCCTCAATCTCAGACCACCGTAAGCAAAAGGGCCATCAACAAGGAGAGCTTAATGAGTTTGATTCCTAGGAGCTGGCCAAAGAACACTGACTGTCGAGGCAAATTCATGACTAAGAAAACAACCACAGGAATATTATTATTATCATCACCCTGCCTACAGCCTGAGTCACAGATCTGGGATCTACAACACTGGTGCTGTACAAACACGTAACAGAGAGTCAGGTGGGATTCATCACACCAAACGTGGTAGAATCATAGAATCATTTAGGTTGGAAAAGACCCTTAAGATCATCGAGTCCCACCATAAACCTAACACTGCCAAGTCCACCACCAAACCATGTCCCTCAGCACCACATCTACACGTCTTTTAAACACCTCCAGGGATGGTGACTCCACCACTTCCCTGGGCAGCCTGTTCCAGTGCTTGACAGCCCTTTCGGTGAAGAAATTTTTCCTAATATCCAATCTAAACCTTCCCTGGCACAACTTGAAGCTGCTTGCTCTCATCCTATGGGCTCCCTTTGCAGCCCAGCCCAGAGAAACGAGCCTTTTTAAGGGTTTTTAGTCTCCTCCCAAGACATCACGCAAAATGTCCCCAACAGTGCCCATTCATCCCTGCTGACTATCAAAGGAGTCCAGGGATGCGGCTCAGATGGAGATATCTCAACTCAGGCAAGACAAGTGCTCCTCCTTGCAGCTGGGAGCTCTGGGCATGGATTTGCAGTACCGGTTTCAGTGCAGTACTCGTCTTGGTGCAGTACTGGTTTGGGATATTCCTGCACTGTGACCCAGACTAGGGGACAAATCCAGCTTTTTCAAATTGCCTGGTTTTTTGAGGTTTCTTTCTCCAGAGCACTTCCTCAGTCTGGCTGACAGAGCATCCCGACAAGCCAGGGGAAGCTGAGCACGGGGGATACATTACACCACGACCGCTGTTAACACCCCGCAACACGAAACCGGGGCCAAACACTGTCAACGAGAGAGCAACCTTACTCAGGGCTCTACTATGCCTCCGGCAGCACTCTGCCCTTCCTCCCTCCCTCTTCTTCAAGTGCTGAAAATTCCTGCTATTATTTATTTTGCTACCAGTTTTGTTTTCAGCATCAACAACGTTACCTCAGCAGAAGGACAGAGTTTGCAGTGATGCCATACTTGAAGACGTACCATCAGACACGGTCACAGAGTGACTGTGTAACAATAAACCAAGATTTCTGCTTTGTTTTCTTTTCCTTCTTGTCTCAAAAAGTTCTGACCTCATGTCCACCAAGACATGAATTTTAAAAGGCACAGGAATTTTTTAAAAAATCCCTGCTTTATTTTTTTTCTTCCTTTATGACTATTAAGATTTTTTAAACCTGCGAGATGGCTTTTGAATGCCTGAAGTTGGCAACGACCAAGCCATTTGATAAAGGTCTAACCCTACACCTCTTAAGCCAGTTCTAGAGCAGTAAATACATCAGCAGTTCAAGAAGTTATTTCACTTAACTTTGAGAGGGAATTTTTATAAAATAAAGGAATATTAGGAGTCCAGTGAGCAAGGTTGACATCGGTTGGTAGATGACGCCCCCTAAACATCGCTGAGCAGCTCTCTAGACTTCATCAGCTGCGTTGGTGAGATCTCCACTGATTTAAGGGATTCAACTTTCCCAGGTTCCAGCAGCATTGAGGCAACCCTGACCACTGCAGGTGGAGCTGGCTGCTCCAGGTGACCTAGAAAGTCAACTTGGAAGGAGGGACTGGCTCCAAAGAAGCTTATCCTTCAGCCCTCAAATCACCAGATTGCTGAATTAGAATACTAATTGGATCTGATGAGTCCCATACAGCCAAACTGAAGAAAAGAGCATTAGGAGAAGGAAGGAAAAAAAATAATTCATTAGGGCTGAGAGGTGAAGATGGAGGCAGAGATGGAAAACTGGGCTGTTTACCAACTGGAGCTTTACCAAGTCAAGGAGAACAGAATGGAGGACTATGAGGGAAGGGAAAGCAATAATAATCCGAGTGGAGAAGGAAGTTAGAGAGGAGCAAGAGTAAGGAAAGGAGGAAACCTGAGTCACACCTAAGATGACTGCAGAAGGGATGATCCACAGTTGGATGCTTCAATGGAAGAAAATGGTGTAGTCTTGAGAAAGAAGCAAGATTGCAGGAGAGGTATGAGCAGGAAAAGAGGGGATTAATGCTGCTAATGAGACAAACTTGATTTGGCAGATGATGGAGAAAGGAGGACGGCGGGGGCCCATGCCCAAGACGAGAGGTTGTTGTTTCAACATCGAGTTTTCCATGCATCTGGATCCTGTACAGAGGCAACACCACACCTGGGCACTGTGGGGCTGGACTGGGGCAGAAGGAAAGGGCACAGATGAGAAGAAATTTGCTGGAAACAAAGACACACCAGTGAAAAGAGAGAAAACGCTGCAGAGAAGCACAAGGCGTTTGGAAGGCGGCAGTCGGCGAGGACCCGGCGGTTGCCATGTACTCCTGAGCCCAGAAGCAGGGTGACGGGCACTGGGTGCCTCCCCAGAGCATACCATGTCTTCGCCTCCACTACACCAAGGGCTCGAGGCTGTGCCTTTGGGAAATGGCTGCTACAGCTCCAACGATTTACGGGCTCGATGGAGGAATCGCTGGGCTGGGTTTCCAGTCTGAGTGATCATACCACTCTCTTCTGGCGTCTTCTGGTATCTGGACTTGGTATCTGTGAATCATTAGAGAATAGGAGGTGCAGGAACGGGAGCTTTTGCGCACGGGTATCCAGATTTGAGAGCCGGGCACTGCTTCATTTAAAAACTTCAAGCAGCAAACAGAAGTTTACCACCAGCTCCTCCAATCTACTGTGATTTTCCTCCTGCTCCTGGCTCCCCACAACGGTTCACCTCCGAGGAGGTGCTCCATCCCCTCCCATCCCTGGCCCTACTTTGCACAGACTTCCTCCGGCTTCTAAGTGTTTCTTCACTGCCCTAAGCGGCGGACAGTCC